GATCTACTGGATAAAAAATTAAAATTATATTTATTCTACACATGCCTCAGCTGTGCTGCCTCACCGCCTTCTCTCAGAGTCTGGGGCCGGGCAAGGGGCTGGGGCTGAGGGGCTGCGGTCTGGAGACCCTGTGGCGGGAGACAGGCCTGCTTTCTGGGAGCCTTTGGTTTGTGTCGGGAGCCCCACTCTGGAGGGGGCGAAGGAAGAGGGTGAGAAACTGACCCTGCCTTCAGAGAATCCCGGGTGGGAGGGAAGATACCAGCCCAGCCCCCCCAGGAGCGCCGGTGTGGGAGAGGAAGCTTGGGCCTCCCCTCCGAAGGTTCCTAGCCCCAGGTGGGAACCTGGAGGTGGGGGCCTGGGGGTCGTTTGATATCGGAGTTCTATTGTCGGGGTGAACACAGACTTGATCTTCATGACGGCGTGGTGGTTGGCATGGGGACCTGGATCCCGCGCTCATGGCGACCCTACAAGAACACGGGATTGGGGTAGCAGCTGAGGCCTGCCCACCATCCCTCTGCCCTCCTCTTCCCACCCCTAAGGTGGGCAGGAAGCCCAGGGCACGGCTTGCAGGGGAGTCTGGGTGCTCCTGGTTGAGAGGGTCGAGTGCGGCAGCCTTGAAGGGTCCTCAGAGACCAAAGGTGCGCACCCCTCACAGTACCCCTCAAGGTTCAGAGAGGGCAGTGCCCTTGTCCAGGGCCACACAGCAAGTAAGTGGCAGATGGGAAACCAGTACTTAGGGCTCCCCACTCTCAGCCAGGTTTCTTTCCTGGGTCACTGAAGCCCTGGGAGTAGCGTCAGATACAGCACGCAGTATTGGGGCGAGGTGGCAGTGGAAGCTGTGTTTGGGAAGAGTTAGCAGCGGCGCCGCGCAGGAAAGGGTGTCGTCGTCGGCGATCCGCCTGCCATTTCTACAATAGCCGCCAGGTGGCGCCAACTCCTCGCTTATCTCACCCTCTGGCTTTTGCTGGAGCAAGCGCTCGGACAGCGGCTCTCCTCTCAGTATTTTCTCACACTTTGTGAATTAGAAATAAAATGTAACACAGGTACCTATACAATATGCTATCGCACTGTACTGTAGAGGAGAAATGAAGGGTAAGTGCTATGAATTTCAATATGTAAATAGTTGGGCACAGCCACGCCGCGGATATGACCAAGTCCCGTGTTCCCTTATGCTTTTAATGAGTGCATCTGGATTTAGGGAGGTCAGAGGTCAGAAGCCATTGTGGGCCTGAAGCGCAAGGAAGTTGAAGAGTATGGTTGATGTTGAAATAAAAATTAACAGTGTCTAAAAAAAACATGCAAAACAAAAGATCCCCAATGAAACCCTTAATGGTTTACACGTGAAACAGGCTTTCACCATGAAAACGTGCAGCGGGACATTCTGAAGTCGTATATGACGATTCCTCAGTGTGAGAGCCTTGTGGGGGTCTTAGTCCCTGCTCGCCGGATGCCAGCAGGCCCCCCTCATGTGGGCAGCTGTCTGTACATTCACGAAGTGCCCCCTTGGGGCAGTACCTTGGTCGTTGGGACCCTCCAGGGCTTGAGATTGCCCACCATGGCTCACAGCTCTTGTCTGTAGAGAAGTTTTTGAACCGCAGCACATTCTGTGCCCAGGAATTCTTCCTGTGCTTTATAGGGCGTTTAGCAACATCCCTGGCCTTTGCCCGCTGGAAGCTAGTTGCACCTTCCACCCAGCTGTGACTAGCAAATGTATCTGCAGGCTTTGTCAGTGTCCCCCAGTGGAGACACACTGGGGTGCCATCTAATCATCCAGGGCTGACGTGTGCTTTGCACGGCGCCAGGCCCCACCCTCCATGGGGAGACTGACCCACAGATGGTGACTGGGATACGACTGGGGGAGGACAGTGATGGGGTCTTGCTTGGGCATATAGGATCTCAAGGAAGAGGGATTTAACCAGGCCTGGGAGAGGGCTAGGAAGGCTTCCTGGAAGAGGTGCCCCTCCCAGCTGAAGCTCTAAGGGGAAGAAGCAGCTAGGTGAGATGCAGAAGTAATAAATAGTTTCATGGGGTCAAACACTGTCTCCAGCTCTGTATTCTAACCATTGTCAGTTTTTGGTTGGAATGGTGGGGGAGGTGAGGCTGTACGGGTTGGGAAAGGTCAGATCAGGGCCAGGTGAGGAGCTGGACTGGATCCTGAGGTGATGGGAGTGAAGGACGGGACTGAACGGAGGTGTTCGGATTGGCGCTGCAGGAGGCAGGAGCTGAGGCAGTGGGAGTACTCTGGGCCACTGGTGACAAGGCTGACCCAGGGCAGCCTCGGAAGGGGTGCGGAAGGGCGGTCAAGGGGAGGAAATGCTTAGATGGTAAACGGGTGGACCAAATGATTGATGGGATGGGGAAGGCGAGCAGAGGATGGGCTGTGGCAGCAGCGGATGCAGGTGGCATGGGTGGGTGGAGGCACTAGCAACTGAGAGGAGAACTAAGAAAGTTGAGGTTTTTGAGCGTCTGCCTGCAAACCAAAGGGCCGCTGGCTCAATTCCCAGTTAGAGCACATGCCTGGGTTGCAGGCCAGGTCCCCAATAAGGGGCGTGTAAGAGGCAACCACACATTTAATGTTTCTCTCCCTCTCTCTCTCTCTCTCCCTTCCCCTCTCTAAAAGATTAAATAAATAAATAAAATCTTTAAAAAAAGAAACTTGTGGTTGCATTTGGGTTGTGAGTTACCCCCTCTTCCCTGTGCCTCACTCCACTCTAGACACACTGGCATCCTCACTGGCCTCAAACACCCCCAGCATATTCCTGAGCCTCAGGGCCTTTGCACTGGCCACTCCCTCCACCCGGAATGCTCTTCCTGTAGACCGCTTCGTGGCCAGCCCCTTGCTACATTCTGTTACATGTCGCTGATCAGGGATGTCACCCTCCCTCCCCTCCCCTTGGCCTGGTGGCATGTTCTATATTGATCATCTGGCTTCCCCACCAGAATGTAAGCTCCACGAAGGCAGGTTTCGTTCACCACCGTAGACCAGCATCTGGGTCTGCTCTGTTCCACACAGCAGCACCCCCGACATGTGGCAACTGAGTCTTGACCTGTGGCCGGTACAGTCTGAGCTGCACTCCATGTGTGAAATCCACACGGGCCCCCAAAGACAACGCAAAGAATCTAAAATACCTCCTTGATACTTTTTATATTGATGATGTGCCGGAATTTTTGGATGTACTGGCTTACAGAAAATTTATTGCTAAATTAATTTCACCTGTTTCCTTCTACTTTTTAACGTGACTAATGGAAAGCTTGACATCACACCTGTGGCTCCCGTCCTAGTTCTACGGAGCAGCTGACGTCGAGCATCGCCCGGCGTGTAGTGAGTGCCCGACGAACATCTGTTCAATGGGTACATCTGGAAAACGGCTGGCGTTCCGGTCTGAGTCTGGGTGGAGGGGCCTGGGCCGCAGGCACAGAACTGTTATCAGAGAGATAGTGACCTGTGCGGTGAGCGTGGGTAAGCGCTTGGGGGCCTCCGGGACGCCTTCAGTTCCTCGCCCAATACAAATTTGCTAAGGGCCTCCCGTGGGCCAGCGAGGAGGGCACGTGCTCTGCCTGGGAGTTGCAGGTGCCGGGAGGAGCCTGCTCCGAATTGGTGGGGGTCAGCTCTCCGGGAGGGCCTCTGTTTTCTTCTCGAGTGAGACCCACAGGCAGGTAGGCATTCGCTAGCTGGGGCTGGGGGAGGCTGGCTGCGGAGAGGGGACAGCTTCGGGCAGAGGCACAGCGTGTCTCAGCACTGGAAGCAAAGTTGGTCACTGTGCTTGCTAGGAAGAGAAACTCCGGGCTGGCCTGGAGGTCTGAGCAGCTCTGGGAAACCAGGCAACGGGCTGGGGCTGGAGGTCTGAGAAGCAGGGCCTGATGGCGTGGGGGGGGGGGGCGTGGGGGCGGCGCTGCTTCAGAAGCCTTGTTCAGGTGCTGGACCGACTCTGAGAACCGGGAAGCCCACAGGGCAGAAGTCGGGGGCTACTTGGAAGGCTCCCTCTGGCTGCTGTGCAAGCGGAAGTCCAGGCCAGGGAGCTGAGGAGGAGGCAGCATGACGGAGGACAGAGGGGGAGGGCCGGGGATGCAAGAGAAAGTCAGGGAGAGGGCGCCAAGGTGGCCAGCTCGGCAGGGTCTGAGGGAGGTGAGCCAGGTGGTGCCCCTGGTCGTCAGTCCTGGCTGGTCCGATGGAGAGCGGCTCCGCTGGGGCAGTAAAGGGGGAAGGCCACTGGGGGCAGAGCAGGGACAGGAAGGGGACAGGAGGCTGACACGGTTTGTAGTCCCCCAGGCGGGAAGAGGGTTGGGGGACTGCAGGGCCCGGAGCATGTTTGTGGGAAGTGTGGGACTTAACCATGCTCAGCACGGGATGGGGAAGCAGCAGCAGCAGCAGGTGAGGGGTGGGGCCAGAACGGGAAAGTCTTGCCCTCTGACCCGCTGCCCAGCCCCACGCTACCTCTGTGAGGAGGGAGGGCCTGGCCCTGGCCACCTCCGAGTGTGGGTGGCGCTCACAGGCCCTACAGACAGACCAGGGTGAGGGGCACCTGCCCTGCTCCCCTTCCCGTGTGGGTTCCGTCCGGGCAGAGACCTTCCTGGGATGGCCCCGCAGGTGGGGGGGGGCGCCCACACGGAGCTCACGTAGGGCACACGCGTGCCCACACAGGGTGTGTGTCCGGATGCTGGTGTCACAGCCGTTTCTGTCCTCAGGGAGGCACCCAGGCCGCCACCTGAACCTGCGCTTTCCCCTTGCTCTCGCCCGACCACTTCCTCTCGGCCTCCTGCCCTGCACCCCCGCCTCCTTCCTTCCCACCCGGGACACGGGACGCGGCATCCCCTACGGGCCTTGGTTCGTTCTGTGCCCCAATGACGCTGGGCGCACTAGGAGTGAACGAGGCCTCCCCGCGCGAGCCTTCTGCTCAGGCAGCGTCCTGGGAGCCAGTGCAGCAGGAGCCACCGCTGGCCGCCTTCTGTGGTGCGGGCTGCGGTGCGGGGTCTCTGACCTCACGCTATGCCCGAGGCAGCGCTAGATGGCCAGGTCCTGGCGGACCGTGGCCAGTGACACCTTGCTGCGACCACTGCCACCCTCGCTGTCGCCGGCCGGTGACCGGTGCGCGTAGGCGGGCGGGGCGTAAGGGTCGGGCCCGGGCCGCCTGGAGGGCAGGGCTGGCGGCGGGGGCGGTGGCGGAGGCGGGAGCAGCTTCTGGGCCTCCTCGTGCGCCCTGTTGCAGCGGTTGTCGCGCTCGGCCGCTGGGCGCCGGCGGCCCTTCCAGAGCAGGTGGCTCAGCTCGGCCACGCTGAGCAGCGCCGACAGCAGCCCCACGGCGAAGTAGAAGACCACGAAGACGGTCTTCTCGGTGGGCCGGCTCACGAAGCAGTCCACGGTATGCGGGCAGGGCGGGCCGCTGCAGGCGAAGTGCGGGGCCACGCGGAAGCCGTAGAGCAGCGTCTGGCCGGCCAGGAAGGCCAGCTCGGCCAGCAGGCGCAGCGCCACGCTGAGCAGGTAGCAGCGGCGCGCGCGCCGGGCGCGCAGGGCGCAGGGCGGGCACGGGCCCTCCGGGAGCCCCGGCGCGCACGGCGCCCCCTTCTCGGCGGCCGCGCCTCCCGGCTCCTTGCTGGCCTGGTGCATGGAGTAGATGACGAAGAGCACCGGCGGCGCCGAGAGCAGCAGGATGTGGAAGAGCCAGAAGCGGTAGTGGGAGACCGGGAAGGCGCGGTCGTAGCAGATCTGGCGACAGCCCGGCTGCAGAGTGTTGCACACGAACTCCTCCTGCTCGTCCTCGAACACCGCGCCGCCCACGGTGGCCAGCACCAGGATGCGGAAGATCAGCATGACCACCAGCCACAGGCGGCCGACCAGCGGCGACTGCAGCTGCACCGCGTCGAGCAGCGAGCCGAGGAAGGCCCACTCCCCCATGGCGCTGGGGAAGAAGGGTGTGGGTCAGAGGCCGCAGCCGGCGCCCCCGCCCGTCCATGCCCACTGGGGTGGGGTCCATTAGACCTCCTCTAACTTCAGGGTGAGTCGAGGGTCGGGGTGGCAGGTAGTTTGTGGGAAGAAAGGAGTTAGCAAGGGGGGCAGAGGCGGAGGCAGGAGGGGTTAGGTGCTTCTCCATGTGGGCGTCCGTCTCCCGGGGCCCGATGGGTGCCGGGGAGGAGCCGCACCCTGGTGCTTTAGCCTGACACCCGTGGGCGGCTTTGTTGGACCCTGTGCTCCTCCAGAGCCTGGATTCCTCAGAGGGGAGCTTGGAGGTCAGCCGGCCGCCCCTGACGGCCTTGGTAGGAGCGGGAACTGGCTGCACCCTACGTGCGTTTTCCACGGGGGAGCGCGGCTTCTCCAGACCCAGTGTGGTGCACCTGGGAGAGGCAGGCGCCCAGCCGACCCGGCAGGCTGCCACCTCTTTTCTTTCTCTGCCTTTTTTTACTGCAGTGAATTTCTCTCTGAGTTGTGGGGCCACATAAAAGTAGCCCCACTTCTGTACTCTGTCAGGACCCTTTGTCCTGGGTGTCCCCTGCCATCTGACCCCAGCGAGGCAGGAGTGCGGCCCAGTCCTCTCTCATCTCCTCCCGGGCGTCCCCGCGACTTCCAGTCTCCCATGTCTCCCGAGAGCCTCCCCCGCACACTCACACGGGCCCCACGGGCTCCTGGGGCCCCCAGACCCGCGGTCGGCCCCACTCACCCAGTGGCCGGCCCCACTCACCCAGTGGCCGGACCTGAGGTGTTAGACTTGAGCCAGGGATCTTGGGAGACGGCTGGGACCTGCTCCTCCTGGTCCCTCTTTCATTTTCCCTTTCAGATTTGGCTGGGATGGGTGACAGGACAGGATGGCCGAGAGGGGCTAGCTCTCCCCCCTCTCTTAAAGGGACAGGGTGACCCTGTTGGCAGGGCCTACCCTTGGGAACAGACACAGAGCCACGCCCCTTACTGGGCTCTGCCCACCCTCCCTTTTCCTCCCTCACCCACCCCCACCCTTATTCCAGGTGTGCCCCCATCTGGAAATGGGGGAGGGAGTTAACCAGAGCCTCACCCTTTATTGAGGGAGCCCAGTTTCCCCACGGACTCCTCCAGGCTGGAAGGCCTACATCCTCCTCGGTCAACGGACTATCTGTCCCCTCGGAAGGTGCCCCGCAGGGCTGGAGGGAGGTGGGTGCTGGTGTTGGGGGCACCGGTGTCCTAAGAGGCAGCAGACACCTAGTAGCTCTGCTTCTGGCTCTGCTGCTGACCTTGGACAAGTCACTGGGCTCTTCCGGGACAGTCTTGGCTTGTCACCTGAGGTCGCTGGGCCAGCCAATCCCCCCATTTCCTTTCAGTCCCCCGTCTTAATGAGAAGATCCCAACCGTGTTACGGAGAACAACAGAAAACACGTGTCCAGAAAACTCCACATAGAAAAAACATTTAGGTATCAAGAGTGCCTGGCTTTGGTAGTTAAATAAAAGCTTTTACTTCCTTCCTGCTTTCCGTAATTACCAGACTTACTATAAAGAGCATGTTATTTATAGTGTGGGAAATAGAGAAAAAGGCTTATTTCTCCCGCCAGGCTCTGAATTGGATCACCTCCCTATGGTTCTGGGTGGCAGGAGAAGCTGTCCCTTGGAATGACCCATGGTGACCTGAGCAGCCAGGGAGGGGACACTCTGCCTTTCTAGGAGCTGGCTCAACCCGCACGCCATCCCCTCCCTCACGGATGCGCCGGCTCTGGGCCAGGCCCTGTGTGGAGTGGGTCACACCAGTGAGAGGACTTGACCGCCTGGGTGGGCGGGCAGCCGGACCCCAAAGCCGCACTTGCCCACAGCCCGTAAAGAGCAGGTCCCAGCCGCACACCTGACCCTAAGGTTCATACTCAAGCCCGTCATGGAACTGTCCTCCGCCCAGCCTGGGACAGTCCCAGGGGGTGTCCCAGGGCCCGGCAGTGCCCGGGGTATCGGCCGGGCTGATGGGCATTGATACTGGAGGTGGGCCTTGTCCACCCCTTCCTGAGTGGGAAGGGTGCCAGGCCTCACTGGCTCAGTGACGTTTCCTCTCTGCTTCTGCCGTGGGGGCCTGTGTAGTTTTCCATGTTGACAGGGGCCCGGGCCTGGTTTCAGGGAGGGGTGGGAGAGGTGCCCTCCATCCACACTGGCTCGGGGGCCCAGCCCAGCCTGGAAAAACCCTGGGCCCCTCTCATCACCCTTGTGCAGGATTCCCTTGGGAGTGGGCCTGGGTGGGGAGACACAGCCCTGGATGAAGTCCAGTGGAAACCACATGTGGGGGCCCCACGTCCCCAAAACAGGAAGGGGGTGGGGGCCCTGCAGACCTCCCCAGCCCTGACCTCCTCCTGTATTTGGCAAAGCTGCTTTCCAACCCCTGACCTCCGTCCACAGCCATGGGGGCTCAGGGACACACCTCCTCTCCCCTGACTGTCCAGGAGTGGTCCCTGCCCTGTCCCCATGTTCCCTGCTGGGCCAGGCCACTGCTCAGCCTGGAAAAACCCCATCAGACCTGTCTGCCTGCGAGGAGAGGAAAGTGGCAGGGGGGTGGGCTAGGGTGGGGCAGGAGGCGGGGAGCCCTCGGCCACCCTGCAGTGTCCCTGGCCCCTGATGCCACAGGGCCAGACACAGGAGACGCTGCAATCTCGGGGGCCCATCCTCCTTCCCAGATAGCGGCCGTCCAGCCTGGGAGGAGGTGTCGCTGATGCTAAGCAGGGCTGGAGGCACGAGGCTCCATTCCTGGCCACACTTGAGGTCCAGGGCTGGGCTGGGAGGCCCGTCCTGCCCTGGTGCACGGTCAGGCTCTGTCCCGGACACTTCGCCCTACCCCATCTGGCTGGCACGGAGCCACTTCCCGAGTCTGTCATACACGGACAGACACATATGCAAGCATGTAATTGTTTGTACCCAGTAAGTGACATCATTGGGACACAACTGTTTTTCTTCTTTCCTGAGTCCCTCTAACGTGTTTAAATCTTTAGAGAAATGATGCCTTTTAGTGCGGCATTCACTGGCCACCCGAACTGGAATTTAACCCCTTACTTCCTATCCCTTTTCTCAGCACTGTTCGCTACATAACATACTTTTCCTTATTTATCCCGTGTGGCATCCATCTGTCCTATTAGCATGTAAGTTCCATGACGGCAGGGGTTTGGGGTGCTTTATTCACCATCCTGTCTCCAGCACCTAGAATGGTTCCTGGCATGTAGTAGATGCTCAATAAATACTGGTCAGGTGGATGGATGAATGAATGAAGTGGGGTGGGTGCAGATCTTCTTTGCCTCAGGAGGATGAGAATGCCAGTGGGTCGCATGCCTCAGTTGCTTATTCTGGTGTCCTCTAGAGCTTGTGATCCCCGAAGTGATTCTCCTGTCCCCAGCTCAGCCTGCATATGAAAGGTGAGGGCGAGACTGGCGGTGGGCATGGTTGATTCCTCTTGGTGGCTTCTAGTCCTCTACGCCCCGCCCCTCCAGCCTGGCTGCACAGTTCCTAACCCTTCAAAGGCTTCCCCAAGCCTGCAAACCCTCCAGACCTGACCCTTCTGCTCACTGGTTGCCCTTGCGCCTCTCACTTTGCCCTTGGCCCTCAGCCTTACCTGGGAATGGTTTGGCAGTTGGGGCTTCCTTTGTTCTTTGGCTCTATTTAAGACTAGGTTTAGCTGTAACAGCAAACACACTAAACAAAGAAGCAAGGATGTGTCTTGTTTGTGAAATCCCAGGAAGCTACTAAGTAACCGACCTTCTTGCATACCATTGGCCAGGATGACCTTCTACGAGGAAGGCTGGGAAATGTAGTCTTTCTTCTGGGTGGCCTTGCACCCAAGAAAGGAGAATTTTTTTAGTCTTTGTTGTCACGAATCTGTGTCTGGTATTGGCCCTCCACGCTGACTTGGGGAGTCAGAGAAATACAGTTCCCCCGGAAGTCAGCCCCCACCAGCCACTTCTGTGCAGTCTCCCTCCCCTAGGAAGAAGGAAGCTGTTGCTGTCTTGCTTGTCATCTTGTCCCCAGGCCCTTCCAAACCCCTGCCTCTCTGGGCCTGCCTTCTTGTGTCTCTGCCTAGTCTCATCCCCTTTCTTGTTCTTGAGCAGAGCAGCCATTACTGCCTGCCCACGGGAGGCCCCCACCTGGTCTCTTCCTCATTGCCCCCCTTTCTAGGTTGTACACGGGCAACTTTGCTTAAAAAGGACAATAACTGACCTGATGGTGGCTGGGACCAGCAGGTGGCCCCATCTGAGTGGCCAAGGGGCCTGGGAGCCCCTCTCTCCCTTTCCTTGAAGCCCAGAGTGAACTGACAGATGAGAGGAACTGCTGGGAGAGTGGGGTGGGCGAAGGGTAAGGATCTGAGTTATGAAGAGTCATCTTCCAAAGTCCCGTTCCCCTCCTGCAGGGCTGCAGTTCGTAAGTGCCCGCTGGTACAAGCAACCACAGCCACTTCCTGCAGCCTTGGGTCCTCAACCTTCTCTCTGTCACCCCAGGAGCCAGATGAACTCAAGATCAGCGGAAGGACACACCAAAGTAACTCCCTTCTGAAAGCAGTACTCTCGGGTCCTAGGGACTGCCCTTACCCAGGCCCTGGAAGGTCACGGAAAGTTACTAGAGGCAGAAGCCAAAGACACCTGGGGATTGGGCTTCCTTTCCTCTGGCCGAAATATATCTTTTTGCATTTATCAGGCTGTATCGGGCCACCTTGAGGCCAATGAAGAGGCTGTCTCACGAAAAGAAACAGATCTGACTCCAGCAAGTACTGAGGACAAAGGTAAGGGGGCTTGTAAAATGATACAACTGTTTTGAAAAGTTTGGTAGTTTCTTAGAAAGGTAATCATATACTTAACAAATACCCCGACAGTTCCATGTTGAGGTATTTACCCATGAGAAATGAGAAAATACGGCTGTGAGAAAATGCACGCTAATGTTCCTAACAGCTTTATCTATTATAAGCCCAAACTGGAAATAACCGAATGTCCATCAACAGGCAAAAAGATAAACAATCCATACAATGGAATAATATTCAGCAATTAAAAAAAAGAGGGAACTGTTGACACAGGCAACATGGGTGAATTTCAAAACCATAATGCGAATGGAAGAAGCCAGACATAGAAACAAACATACTGTGTGGTTCCGTTTATGTGAAGTTTTGGAATAGGTAAAACTGTCCTAAAATGGTAGGCATCAGAGCCGTGTTTGCCCGGGGTCCAGCGTTAAAGAGACACATGAGAGCTTCTGGGGGTGATGGAATATTTCGTCATGGTGATTCTGCAGGAATATGCATTTGTCAGAAGTCATCAGTCTGTACACTTAGGATGGGTACATTTTATGTCTGTACATTATACCTCAATAAAGTTGCTTTGAAAAGAAAGAAATGCTGGTCTTTACTGCAGACCAGCACCTTCAAGGAGGTGGTGAGAGGAAGACTTGCTCTGGCGTCTTTACACATCTCTCTCTCTCCACCTCTCTGGGCAGCCTCTTTCCTCCTCTTCCTTCACTGTCTTTGTTAAGATAGGACAAGAATCTCAAGGTCTGGGCTATTCTTACTAAATGCTATTCTTGCTAAATGTTAAAATGTAGCACAGTATTTTGCAGACCAGTTGTAAACAATACCTCAACCAGTAAGTGTAGGCAACTGCAAGGAAGTCTACCACCACCACCACCACCACCACGGGTAACTAAGTAGATAGTGTATAGTTTTCAGGAACAACTTGGCACCTGCTCCAGAGACACGTTACTATCAGGATTGACAGCTTCCAGCCTTATGCAAATCAGCTGGTGGGCTGCCCTTCTAAATCAGCTGAGAACGTTTTTTTGTATCTGGGAGTTGTATACACAGAAAAGTTAAGACCACGAGGCTCTTCCGAAGATGCTGTAATGGAAGCGATCTCTCTTTAGTCGTGGGAACAGCGCCCGGTGTGACGTGGTTGACGAACAGTGTGAAGGGGATTCTGGGTTGAATGCCACAGCTCAGCAGCTCTTCACCCTGCGTCCCCAGGTAAATTGTCACTACTGAGAACACCTATCAGTAGGTCAGGCGGTGGCTGTATGAAAGCTTTCTGGTGGTTCCTAGAAGTGAAATTGTGTCCACTAATCGTTTAGCATCTTACTTCCTCACAGCTGAAGAGATAGGCAAAACTCAACAATTCTCTGCATGTTTCTGTTAAACATTTTTTACATTGTTGCAACACATCTACATGTAGGAAGTGCGCTGTTTCATAAAACTCTTACAGGGCTGCCATTCATCGCCAGGTCACCGTGTGCGCATGTTAGCCTGATGCAAGGCGGTGCGGTGATGCTGGCGTTCCCAGGGTGTGACTGTGTCTACCGTCGCCAGTGCGTTCACGAGCATGGCCTGAAATAGGAACTGTGCGTTGCTGAAACTGTGACCAGGGAGTTCAATGCCTTCAGCAGCAAACACTATGCCAGTGAGGAACTGCTCTTTGTTAAAGTTTTGACTGGTCCAGCAAAGATACAGTGCATTAGCATGACTGTATCCCGTTCATAGCTTTAGGGCCAGATTGGGAAGATTAGTCTGTCTAAGGAAAGAGGCTTGAGTGAAGGATTCCTAAGGAAAGAAGGAACCCCAAGTGAACTTGTTTGCAGCTTTCAGAACCGAGGCTGGCATATCTACTATCGCAGGGGATCCTGGGTCCTTTGGGTACCACAGTGGACTTGGGAGTTTTTATTAATTAGGGTTCTCCAGAAACATAGAACCAATAGGATATACACAGTAAGTCCTCACTTGACATTGATGACAGGAGGAGTAATGCAGCCCGAGGCTGAAGGCCTGACAGCCAGGCCGGTGATGTGAATCTGAGTCCCAAGGCCCAAGAGCCAGGAGCGCCAGTGTCCAAAGGCAGAAAGTTGGTCTCAGCTTAGAAACAGCAAATTCGCCCTTCCTCCTCCGCCTTTTCCTCCTCGGGTTTCACCAGGTTGGATGATGCCCACCTGCACTGATGAGGGTATTCTTTGTCCAGTTTATTGACTCCAACATGAATTTCTTCTAGAGACAGTCACAGACACACTCAGAAATATTTTACTATCTGGGCATCCTTTTTAGCCCAGTCAAGTTGACCCACATACCTTACCATCGCTGACTTTTTCAAACCAGCCTGCAGACATCCGCTTGGATTTGCAATAGTGCAGCACGTTCAGTATCACATTAGAACTAGAACCTATGTTATTGTTAAAACCAGAATTATAAACAAAAATTACTTAAATCTCATTATCCAGAGAAAATCAGCGAACATTTTGCCACAATAGGCCTTCCAATGCATGTGCTGTTGGTTCTCATATTTTGGTGTGTATCAGAATTTAACTGTGGTACTTATGAATGTAAGTGCTCTCAAGACAGTTCTGGGGTGGGCCCAGTAACTTGAATTTCTAACAAGCTGTCAGGTCATGCTGATGCTGCTGGTCCAGGGACCACACAGAGAGGTTCTGGTATGGGGTTTATACCTTTGCCGTTCTAAGTGGGGTCTCCAACCATCAGCGCTGACAAGTTAGGAGCCTGTTAGTAAGTCTCCAGCCCCACCCGAGACCTACGAAATCACTGCATCAGAATCTGCAGTGTAACAAGATCCCTAAGTATGAGAACCACTGGTCTGTATTTGAGCCTCATACTGTCCAAATAGCTTTTCCTCCCACTTTATTATAGTATAACTTATAATAAAATGCACCATTTTATAATGTAATTCAGAGTTTTGACAAATTGTATAGGATAGTTTTGTATCTCCCCCTCTCAGCCACTTAACACAACTTTCCTGTCCTATTAAATGTTCTGGGAAAACATTTTTGTTTTAATGGATTTTAGAGAAAGAGGAAAAGGAAGCATTGATTCACTGCTCCATCCATCCACACTTGTTGGTTGAATCTTGCATGTGCCAAATGGGGATCGAACTGCAAACCTGGTGCATCAGGACGAGGCTCCAAGTCAGCTTCCCCAGCCAGGGCAAAAATGACTTTTCATGGCTATATACTGCATGATAAGGATGTACCGGTCTAACCATTCAGGACATCTCTGCTGTTCCTAGTTTTTTACCAGTGCAAATAATGCTTCAGTGAATACTTTTCGACACAAAGTTTTTGCTTTTCAATATTCACAATAGTTTTCCTAAAATGGAATTACTGAGGAAAGGGATACTGGGCGGGCAAGACACAGCATAATTAATATGACTGTAATCTATTACACTTGAAGAGAAAGTTAATGAATTAGTCCCATTGCAGCAAAACAAACCTTTCAATTAATTAGCCATTCTTTTGGAACTTATAATTGATGTAATATCTACTTATCTAAGCCATGGTTCGTGTATGTAGGAAATAACTACATTCTACAAAGGGTCTAAATGTGTAAACCATTGTTTATTAGCACTAAAATTTTTATCGCCTAGAGTGCCAGTATCTTAATGGAGTCAGGAATATATTTACTTGAAATCTTAGCAAGTACCTTACTGATCAGGAGTAAACTTCTACTTTCAAAAGGGAAATGTTTCTGAAGAGGGTTTATGTTTCTTTCTAAAGAGGGTGGCATGTGCTTTTCCCCCCACTATTTTAACCTGCTTTCAGTGCACAGGATCATTCTTAATGAGTACTGGGTATTCCTCATTTTACCATAATTTAAACTAATTGTTTTACTAAATCTCTCCTGTTTGAACACTTAGGTTACATTCAATTTTATTATTACAGAAGTTTCAATATACATCCTGTATATGGCTTTGGGGAGAGAAATGTAGATTTAACACAGTTGTGAGAAATAATGAGATCCTTTATACACTTTGCCTATGGTAGCATTTTGCAAAACCGTCATAACAAGGATATTGATATTTCCTGTTACTGGAACTTGCATTTGTGTATCTTTACTTAGCTTTTCGCATAGTCCAATTCTGCTCTTGAACTGAATTTCTTAAAGTGAGAGTCTGGGACAAAGAGCTTGGCCTTTTTGCCCTGGTTCTGATGAAAGAACTCACTTTTTAATATTTTTGTCAACACTACCCTTGGGGATATGTTTAGGTTTATACCTCTTGAGAAAAGTAACTCAAGATGACTTTTCTCCTAGTACCTTTTAAAAGTTTTTTTTTTTTTTGACATTTAAATATTTAGTCTATTGGAACTTAACTTTGGTGTAAGATGTGAGGAAGAGTTGGATTTACCTAAATTTTTTTTTTTCAACTAGCCAGTTGTCCCAGTATAATTTACTGATATCAAGTACTTGGCTAGGTTTATCAAAAATAGTTGTTAAACCCTGGCTGGTGTGGCTCAGTTGGCTGGGCATCGTCCTGCAAACTGGAAAGTTGTGGGCTCGATTCCTGGTCAGGGCACAGGCCTGGGTTGCAGGTTTGATCCCCAGTTGGGGCATGTGCAAGAGGGAACTGATCAATGTTTCCCTCTCACTCTGATATTTCTTCCCCTCTCTTTCTCCCTCCCTTCCCCTCTCTAGAATCAATAAAAAAAAAAATGTTAAAATAGGAAATCATTAAAAAAATACATGCATATTTAAAACTATTTACTGATGATGTAGGGCCAAGGCCTTTTGAGTGTGGAGAAAAACTTAGTACTCATGTATAAAACCCAGGGAAAAAGCTGGATTGGCCCTGATTAGGTCATGATGCCTAACTCTTAGACCCATCCCTATGGTCAGGGGCTGTCAGGAAAATGAGAATATGATCAGAACAGTTTTCAAAAGGAAGTTAAGAAAAAAAAGTTTAAACTCTTATTAAGAAAAAGGGACGTGAAGAGGGATATATTTTAGAGTAAGAAAAAGGTATAGTG